AATAATTCGTTCTTATTGCGAAATAGGAGCACTATTTATCAATCTGTAATAAAAGACGTGAGGAAATTCTGTCTTTTTTAAAGACAAAAATTTTGAGGCGAAATACCAAAAAAGAAGTTTGTAAAAAAAAACACAAAAAGATGTTGGATAAAATGGCAGACATTAATAAAGTGATGAAAGAAATGAGATATAAAATGGACGACAACGCTAAGAAATTTGAAGACCTGAAAACAACCGTTGAAGGCAAACTAAAGAACATCGAGGAAGTTACTGATGATTTGGAAATCAATGAAATCGTGGACATTCCTGCAGTAGTGGAAGAGCCAGAATATAAAAATCCAGTAGTTCAAGAGCCGAAAGTTGATCGAGAAGAAGGTACTGTCGAGATCACGAATGAACAAATTGCTCAGGAGCATTTAGAGGAAATTCAGGTGGAGCCCGAAGTGGCTAGTTCTGATCAGAAATTGTCCTTAGTTGGGGAAATAACTGATTCAGTTGTCTCTGAAGGAGATGATGTGGCTTAAACTGATAACTCTTGTGAAAACTTCCCAGGTATTACGCTATCAAAAGTAACTGTGTCAACAGAGGGAAATTCTCAAGTGGCAAAAGAAGTCGACTCTGTGGAAGAGACATTAAAAGCGGCGAAAGTGAAGGAAGTGGTAAAGACCGAAAGTATAGCAATTTTGGAATCACAGGACGAATATGCTGAAGAACTCCCATCAGACAAGGTGATTACGGACGAAGCGACTATTGTGAAGACTGAAGAATTGTCGGTTGCTGATAAAACTGTGAGTGATAAAATCGAATACATCACTAGGGCAGTGGAACATGAGTATGTAACTATGCAGACGTGAGGAAATTCTGTCTTTTTTAAAGGCAAAAATTTTTGAGGCGAAATACCCAACAAGAAGTTTGTAAAAAAATGATGAGATGTTGCAAATGACACAAAACAAGTAGAAACTTGCATTGGAGTGAATAGAAAGGGACCAAAAACAATTGGTTACGGTACTTACCAGCCTACTCGGGGGAAAATGATTTATTCGAAAATATATAGGTGGTGCGCTAATTTTGTCCATCAGTGTATCAAGGGTGTTCTCTAAACGCATAAAGAGTTCTGTTACATTTCTGCTCCATGTGATTATTTGATAGTCCACTGATAAGCGGACAGTCACGGCCCCATAAAAATATCCGGTTATGAGAGAGGTGATATGTAGTTAATTAAAAAGCATTTTTTATAACATTTTTCAACGTAGAAACGTAGAATGTTCTTGTGCCGGTTTACTTAACATATTTAAGAAGAATTGAGTTACTTTTATATTCAGATGGCAACGCAACGAACTATTTCCATGAGAAGTCCGAGTTTTCGGTACCAGACAAGCTGTCTTACTACTGCATGAAGGATCAGGCCTTGAACCTCACCGATGGACAGAGCAACGTGACCTTGGCTAAGGTGCACCTCAGCAGCTTCCAGTACCAGGCCTTTATGAACACAACCAGTGCTTCGTATGCTTCAGGTAAGTCACGACACGCGTCAGCTATGGGAGATTTTCTTACAAGGTGGTTGTTTTCCAGTTTGGGATTGCGACGGAGCCAACACGTCCGACGTCGTGCCTGTAGTGGTCGGGTGCGTACTGGTGATTCTGGTGGTTCTGGTTCTGGTCGTCTACCTTTTCGGACGTCGCAGATGCCAAGCTCGTGGTTACCTCTCAATGTGAGTTTAAAGTGAAGCACATGAGCACACTCCTACATGCATATACGGCCATTCTACGGAACACTTGGTGCCTTCATTGCGTTGCGTTGCGTAGAATGGCCCAATACCAATAGGGAGAATCGGTGTTGGCAATGTTGACTTGTTTTCCAGTTCAGTTTTCGCTTATTGTTTTAAATCCCATGCAGATCCAACACCCTGTTGCTGTTTGTTTCACATTTTCTTAATCCGTGACAATAGCTCGGGATTCAATTCTTTCTATTCATGTTCAGTTTTGTTTTTCGGGGGCTAGCAATGTTAGTCAATTAGTCAGCGGGAGTCAAACGCTCGCTCTAGCTTCAGTTTATGTTTATCAATATTGTATGCTATGTTATGTTTAAGGTAATCATTTGCACAGACCTACATTTGATCTGGAAATTCCAAAATATTCTCGAATTTAGTCCGATTGGGGACCTGCCCAATTCAACGGTATAATTATATGTAATCATGTGTGTTTGCAACTTGTGCCGTGGCGGGCTTGGGCGGAAGCGCATTTTAGTTAAAAAAAAGAGCAAACCTATAATTTGTTACAGTCCCTCGCTGGATGCGGCCTAGTTGAAACGAGTGGATATATTTTATTCTTTAGTTATGGCCGGCAAAATGTATTAAGGTTAAGTTAAGATAGCGGTTTGTTTTTTATGAACATATGATAATCGGGGCTGTGAAAGCTTAAACGTAATTTGGAACGTCATAACAATGTTAATGAATAAAGTCCTTGTGAACCACACTGGCCGTTTCTTTTGCCTTTCCCGCTCCTATTGGTGATGTGCATGTGGGGTTGTCTTTGTTACGGTCTTTAATATGAGCTTTTGAGAAACCGAAAAAGTAACAGTGTTTGGGTTTCATCTCTAGCAGTGATGGGAAAAATCGTATTAAAATGAGTTCCATTTTCAGCGTCAAAACTATCGCGCTACAAAAGTCGCAGTTTTAATGCAATCGTTGTATTCATATCCGCGTAGTGGGAGTGTGGAAAAAGAAGAAAAGTGTACACCGATCGTTTCATCGGTAGTTTCGTGTTATTTTGCTCTACTGATCAACACTGATGAGAGGGAAGGAAAGTGACCTCGAATGGAAATCTGCCAATAGCAAAGGCAGGAAGTATACTGGGTCAAAACAGTTTGATTTAAGGAGACAGAAAGTGGAGGAGAGCAGGTGTGGAATTATTGGTCAATAAAAAATTCGAAACAAGTATAAAGGAAGTACAATATATAGATTGCAGCATCATACAAGTGACAATGGAACTGGCGGATGAAACGACACACATACTAAGCGTATATGCACCAGATGCAAGCAAGCCAAAAGAAGAAAGAGAATAATTTTTCGACACCCTGCAACACACGCTAGAGAAGATACCCAGAAAATACAAAGTCATTATCATGGGCGACCTTACCTCAAGAATTGGCAATTCTGTTGTTCAGGGAATCATGCACATCATGCTTCAACGAAGAGACGATAAATGACAATGGAGAAATGCTGATAGAAGCATGTGCCCACAATGAGTACGTATTAATAACACATATTTTGACCACAGGGAACAACAAAAATACACCTTCGTCAACAGAAGAGGCCAAAAATCGATCATTGATTACGTCCTTACAAATAGGAATGTACACCCCTCTCGGATACTCGATGTACCAATATTAACATCAGCAAATATCGGAACCCAACACGGACTAGTTCTGTCTAGTCTGGACTAGTAAGTACCGTACATCACACATAATAAACTTTACCAAAACAGACTAGACGAGAAGATCACTCAAAATACAATAACAGCAAGAGATAATTTAGAAGACGCAAAATAAAAAAAACAACATGAAGAACAGTACCAAGGAAGCTCTAGGAGAAAGGACATTAAACACAAATAAAAGAAACAATAAGCCATGGTTCACCCCGGAAGTCAAGGAATTAGCATAATAGAAAAAGAACGCTCACATAACTAACATCAACAATAGATCACCCGAAGTATTCTTCGGTTTCAGGTTCTTTCTCTTTTGAATCTCTTTGAAAACAGAACAACTAATGCGATTAAACAACCCAAAAGGACATACTGGGAAAGGTTCTCGGTGGAAATGGAACTCGGCCAGAAGAAGATCTGGAACATGCTACGAAAGAGAAAAAAGCCAGTCAATGAGGAAGTAGTAATAAGTGCAATAGACCAAGAAACATGGGCAACATACTTTGAAAACCTATATGATAACAATAGCAAAAACAGCGATGATACAGAAATCGAAAATCCATCATCTACAGGCGAACAAGAGGAAAGCATAACACTGGGAGAAGTACAAACGGCCATACAGAGATTAAAGAACCGAAAATCTCCAGGCACTGACAACATTCCAAATGAATTACTTAAGTACGGAAGTGCAAAAATCGAAAAAGAATTAGTAAAGTTATTCGGAAAAATGGAACAAAGCGGAGTAATACCCAATGAATGGAGAACTAGATCCTATAAAATCGGACCCGAAAAACTACAGAGGCTTAACGTTACTAAGTGGTGTCCTAAAACTACTAAACTAACAAAAACTTATCAGACAAAATAACTGATAAAGTAGGAATCTCCGAGGATCAGCAAAGATTCCGCTCAAATAGATCAACGACAGACGCAATATTTATATTACGCCAAGAGAAGCCCATTGAATTCAATAATCCAATGTACACATGCTTTGTAGATCTAAAGCAAGCATTTGACAATGTACAGCTTACGGATGTAATCGACCGACTGAACCAAAAAGATGCTAATAAGTGCCACATAAACCTAATAAAGCAGCTTAACATAAACAATAAAACAATGAGAAGAACATAGTGTGGTCTAACAAGAGAACTTAAAGTCTCATCCGGCATACGACAGGGAGATAGCCTTAGCCCATGCCTTTTTAACATTATAATGGACCAAATAATTGGAAAGTGTGAACCAAGTCGATGCAGGATTCAAGATGAACAACATCTGCCTGAGAATACTCTGTTACGCAGACGATGCTGTCTTGACGGCAGAGAGCGAAGATGACCTCCAGTGCCTTCTCTACAGATTCAACCTAACAGCACAGAGGCTTAATATGCAAATTTCGATCGAAAAAACACAATCTATGGCAATATCCAAGGATCCGATCCGATGTAAGTTGGTGGTGAGTGAGCGTATTATACAGCAGGTGATGAATTTCAACTATCTGGGGGTACAGGTATCGTACAGTGAATGAGGTGGAAAACCAGATCAGAGAAGCCGTAAGTGCGTCAGGACGTTTGCGAGATATAATTTGGAAGAACAAATATATGACCACAAAGAGCAAGACACGAACTTATAAGACCTGCGTCAGACCCATAATGACCTACGCCGCCTAGACAAGAGCTGAAACGTCTGTTACTAAAAGGAAAATGAGAACAGCAGAGATGAAAATCCTAAGAACAATAAAGGGGACCACATGCATGATAGGATACGCAACGAGAACACCAGAGGAGAACTGGGAGTGCAGGACGTTGTCAGATGGGTGAGAGAGAGACGACAGAACAAATGAGTCCAGACCGAATTGCAAAGTGGGCCAAAACACAAAAACCAGAAACAAGACGCTCAGCTGGCAGGCCCCCAAAACGTTGGTAGGAAAGCTGGACATCGGGATCACAGGAGGGCTGATCACAGAATTGACAGGACTTAGTCCTTTTACACGAAGAAGAAGAAGAAGAAAGTGGAATTGCAAAGTTAAACGGGAGCTACTGATATCCAAAGTGGGTGCCGTAAGACGCGAGGTGTTATAACGCATTGACGCACAGAGCGGCGTCAGTACAAAAGTGCTACACAACCCAGTGTTTCCCATGTCTAGACCAGAAGCCGACATAAAATAATGGATATTCCAATTTGCTGTTGCCCTGCATGCACTTCACCAGGAACAAGAAAAAGTCGCTTAGAAGAAAAGACAGAGGGTATCAAGAACTGGTAGAAAATCGAACTGTCAACCAGAATACTGCAGAGTAGGGATTTCGGTAGACATTTTTAACGAGAAACACTTGATTGAAACACCTAATTCCGATGAAACTGCGACTTCGGAAAATGATAAAACTCACTACTTGATAAAGCGAACCAATCGCTAATCATCTGTGCACAGGACAGGACGATAGTACTTAAATTCTTAAAATAGTTCCTGTATCTTCGATGTTGGGTTAGTTAGAACTCGTTAGCGAGAACAGGGTATCCCAAGATCATTCTGGCCAGTAAGTGAGGTTTACTTGAGTAGGAGAGGCTCTAACTGTGCTTTCTCAATCTTATCAGATCCAGCCATTTTTCAATGTTCGCTTTTTGTCGACTCACTTGTCTTCAAGTCCCGCAATTTCTTTCCTCTTACTGGTTCCGGTCTGCCCTGGGATTCAGTTCGCATTGATCTTAAAAAGTTCGGTAAAGGACTGGGAGTCCAACGGTCACAGCGGTCCCCTTGCGGGTCCGGGCTGAGGTGAATACTTATAATCCACCTTGGATTCTGCAATCAATCAATCAATCAATCCTTGGTTGTTTTTTCGGGCAAACGTTTCGATCCCGTACCTGCCAACATAGGGCTGCACATTTTGGCGCAGTCTTAGCGGTTCGTTGTCCAACTCAAACAGATGAATGTGAGCAATGCGTTTGATCTGGACTCGGCTTAACAGTGCAACATCAATTTCAATCGCAATTGTTATCTGCGATATTTTAGTAGCATCTCGATTATAACCACGATCCGATTATTCCCATCACTAATCTGTAGCTCTGTTCTATAGACCGATTTTTGCACAGTTTTGGCCGCAGTTTTTTCGGCTTCACCTTGCTAAAGCTTTGCACATTATTGGCCTACTTGTACTGAAGGGTGTGGTTCTAGATGTAGATGATTTACTATTTCAGGTTCGCCGATGAACGAAGCGAAAGCGACTACATTCCTATGAAAACACTGTCCTGCTTTAAGTAAGGCGTCCTGGTTGTTTCCAATCTTTGTTCCTTATGCTACTTTTGATATTATTATTAGGCTGACGACATTGAGATGATCTGGGGGATTTTCCAATTCGTTATCTTAAATGTTCTTAAACTTTTCTATGGATGGTCCACCAAACGCGCCCGGAAAGTTAACGCATGCTTCGATACCGTCAATGTCAATGTCATTGGGTGACGTTGCGCTGAACTAATGACATTTTTCAATCAGTAATTAGTCAAAAAAATGACGTTCTTTGCCTTTTCAGTAACGTCAAGGCATGAATGACGTCAATCAAGAGAAGCCAATGCTTTAGCTTTCCTTTATAGTTGTGTTATTTTTAGTTTTTATTGTTCAAGTCTAACGTTTGTTTTTGGATTGACCATCCAGCACAATTTATCGTTTTACTTACCTTAGTTTTATCTGATTTACCTCGACAAAAGCCAGTGCATTGCACAGTTGGGATGTCGACGTTAGCCAAAGAACTCCCTGCAACTGTACAATGCTGTAACTTTAGAGGCCATTTTTATACAGGGTGCCCCATATTTGATTACCATGGGAGCGGGAGGTGGAAAAAGGCATTTGAGGCAAATTAGTTGAAAACACTGGATCTGTAAAAGGCATTAAATTTTTTTAATAGTTTTTTCTTGAATACTGAGAAAAATTTTCAAAAATTTCGTTTTTATGGCGGACTTTATAGCTGTTTTTGGGTATATTTACTAGGTAATAATTTTATTATAGTTACCTAATAAAAAGTAACTCTAAAAAAGTAAGAAAAACCTGCTGCAACTTGAAAGCCATTTGAAAAATAAAAATTTAGCTCAACAATTTGGTTGCCTGCCTTTTACCATCCCTTGCTCTGTGTTGGATTAACTAGGAGCCATCCTGTATATGCAAGGTGTCCCGTAGGCATATGATCAAAAGGGCACTGCGACGTTCTTTGGCTCAAAAGAAGACGATCTCACTTAAGTTTTGTTAAGAAAAAATGTCTGGATCATCTGCTATTGATAACTGAAGCTTTTTGAAGAAGTGTTTTGGTACAAAAACTGCCAGAACTTTATTTGGAAGCTGGAATCAACTGATTTTTTTGAGTGGATTGAATGGATTTTTCTTATTAAGGCAGGTCAGATCGTTTTCCTTTGAGCCAAAGAATGTCGCAGTGCCCTTTTGATCACGTGCTTTGGACACCCTGTATTTATATCACTAATTTCCTGTAATTCTCATTGAGGAATCTCGCCCGATCTCTGGCAAAACCCGTCTGATTAAGGGAGGAATTGTGATATTAGATTGATAAGTAATGACTGTCGCATCGAATGGCTTTGTGTCAGGTTGTGTTTTTTGTCAAGGCAACGAAATAAGTGTTAATGTTTCAAGTGAAAATAGAGACGTTTCTCTGCGTTTGTTGCTTTTCTGCCCTTCTAAATGGGCTTTGAATGAGGTGTCGGGGGCTATTGCAAGCTGCACAGTCGATCGGATCAGTGCAACCCTCTAGGGGATTAGCGCTGTTTGCAAAAGGGATTAGCAAACTAGTGCGTTGCTGAGCGATTTGCTTAACATCTTTGTTCCGAGTGGGATTTAAGCGGCTTCAGTATCGAGATCGCACCTGCCCAAACCCGCCGCCACTGCCAGCACGTGGCTGCGTTCCCTGGCACGTGCTGGTTCCCATCAGAGTCCTTCAGGAGCCAATTGATCTTTGCGACTCGCTTAATGGCTCTGATGATGGGCGACAGATGCCTCATGCTGCTTCAGCTTGCCAAAACACAGCGGCGGCTCGTCAACGAAATTATTTCCTGCCTAACGATGACCAGTTAAAATTCGAGTTTTTCGATTTGTATAATAATAATAATTCAATTCTCCGGAGTTTTGAAAGGCTTGTACTGAGCGCATCAGTTTTCACCTAGTAACCATCGATACTTTTGTACTACATCTACTACCTCAAGTTCCCGTGCTTCCTGAGCAAATTAATGCAGATTTTTACTATTAAGAAGGGTGTTTTCACTTTTTTTTAATGTTGATATATAGAAAGTAGTTATGGCAAACATTACACTGATATCATTTTTTTACAAAAAAAGTCCATAATAATTTTAAACCAAATTTAAATTCAAATCAGATGTTTTCCACCAAAAACGCCGAATCCGTGTCGTCGGTTGCCTTTACCGATTGTGACGTAGCAGGTCATATCAACAAAGGGTCTCGTGTTTATTTTGTTGTTTTCGCAGCTTTGTTTTATTATTTAAGTTATTGTGATTATCATTATTTTATTGATTATTATTATTGTCTTGCATAATGGAAAATAGTGACATGCAGGGATCACAAAATAAGTGGTGTTTTGTGCCAGGATGCAAGAATACCTCAATAAGTGCTCCAAACAAACTCTTTCTAACCGTTCCCCATGATTATGCACGTAGTTTTTTTGGTTTAAAGCAGCGAGACGTGATGTTCCTAAATCAAAATCAATTTTTTTTGTTCCGAGGATCAGTTTAATGAAAGTACGAACAAAAAAATGATGAGGCAGATAGAATATGCCTTCGATCGTACGTTGTGTTCTGGGCAAGTTCTACCTTGTACAGTGCACAAAGAACCCTCGCGTTTCAATTCTACATATCCGATATCACCATATCGTTCTCGTGATGCCCAAAATACAAATTTAAGAGTTCATTTTACTTTTAAAGCAGCCATGTGTATAGGTTAGGTTAAGTTGAATAAGTGAAATTCTATA